TCGTTTGCTTCAAACAGAAACAAAATCAAAATCTTCCCAAAACCCCATTGTCCAAAATTCTTCAAAATCCATCAATTTATCGCAATACGTAAGCAATATATCAGGTATAATTGTAAGCAACCAAGGAGATTCAATCATTGTAAGTTGTTTTTTAGCATTATTGAGTTTTTTTTACATATAAATTGTGTTTTAGGGTAGTAAAATGCAGTTTTTTTTTAGTTCATGCAATGTTTGAAGTCAATACATAAGTGTTAGCCATGTCTTTTTGACGATCAATGGATGTTTTTTGATCCCCATTGGGCGTCAACTTCGCCATTGAGTTAGGGCGTGTATGGCAGGCTGCCGGTGACGATCTGCAGGTAGCCCAACACAGAGCACGTGCTATGAGGGCATATGTTTTATATCTGGTTAGCACGCAGATTTTTGTGGACACTAGTGCCACTTACACTCATATCATGTACCTGCGGTTCTTTAATGATTTTCTTCAGCGGATCGCTGAGTGGAGTTGGGGGGCAACTTGTTTAGTGTATTTGTACCAGAAGTTGTCAGAAGGAATTAAATGGAATACAAAGCAGATGACCGAGAATATCACACTTTTGACGGTAACATTTCTTATTCTTATGTTATTTTTGTCTTGTTACGTAAATTACTTTGTTGTTGTTACTTACTAATGACGGTAACATTTCAGGTCTGGATTCTACAGCACTTCCCTCACATATTCGGATGGTCACTTGAGCCTACATATACTGAGGTTCTGCCACATGCCGCTTCATTCGACCCACTCTGAGGGAACCAGGAGACATAGCCATCCATGGTGTATATAGACTGCCTGACCTATGAGGATATATGCTTCCATGCATACAAGGCTCACCATGAGACGATTCCCTTTGACGATATTGTGTTGTTCACTAGGTGGTTGACATGCGGGACGCGCAAGACGACTGCTTATTTGCTTGAACGCTTAATGCATTTCGTTTATAGTACTATTACGTTTTTCATATTTTGGATTATTTGGATAAGACTTTGACAAATATTTTCATATCATATTTTGGAACATAATATTTATGAGTATTTGTACGTACTCTGTGTTTACTTCGCATTTAATCGACGTAGTATTTTACTACGTATTTTACTATATAATTATGCACTAAAACCTGCATAAAAAACATTTGAACATGAACCAGAAATGCATATCCGATTCCAAACCGTAGTTACATCTCCGATTTTATACTTGATTTTTTTAAAAAAAAGGTGCTTCCCGAAAATGTATTTCCGGAAGGTATTTTTAGTTTTACTTAGGATTTTTTTTCCCTATATAGAGTGTCATAAGAAATTCTCTTCAGATTAAGCTTTGCTCGGATGGATATTACGGATCACCGTCAATCCACTCCACCAATGCCGCCAATCTCATTCCTGGGGACATCACCACTGAAATCTTATCCCTTCTTTCCCTTGAAACCATTGCACGACTGAAATGCGTGAGTAAGTATTGGAACACTCTCATCTCTGATCCAACATTCGTCTACCAGCATCTTAACAAGTCATCACATAAATAGAAACAACATTTCCTATTAACATGGGGACAGATCAAGTTTTATACTCTCGTAACCTTCCTTTGCATTTGCATGGTTCACTAAAATTCCCACCCTTCACTATTCGACGATCTTCATTCATTGAATGGTTGCTATATCACTGGTTCGTGCAACGAGTTGATCTGCTTGTATACCAAATCTTGCAATGTTAAGTACTAGGAGGACTACTCAATCTTTTTAGGTTCGAGTTATGTTGGAAATCCACCAAAGTCTATGATGAATTTCTACCACAATGACAATTTAATTATGATACAAACAAAGAAAAGAAAACAAGACAAATAATTTCTGCAGAGTTTCTCTCTGCTCACAAACTGTGAAAACTTTCTTATTCACTTTGCAACTGCAAAATACTGTGAATGACTTGCTTGACTTGCTTACAAAAATAGGGGTTACTCCCTCTATTTATAACTGAGCTTACACCCTAAGCCCAAAGCCCAAAATATCTTTTTGTTACTAAATCAAATCTAATTTATTCTAGACTTAAATCAAATCTATTTAAATCTGAAACAAATCAAATCTTTTCGACACATAGTTTCGACACACTGGATTACAATTTAACACACCACCTAATTCATTGTATCTAAACTATCTATGTTCATCATGGCTCTTAGCTTTCTGAATACTTCGACTTGCACTCCCTTTGTCATGATGTCTGCAATTTGATTCTCAGTTCTGCAGTGTTCCAAATTCATCTTTCCATCTGCTACCTGCTCTCGAAGATAATGGAACCTCATTTCGAAGTGCTTACTTCGACCATGTGCTATTGGGTTCTTCGCCAGATTAATAGCTGACATGCTGTCTATCTTCATGGTAATTGCTCCATGATTTTTCCCTGTTATCTCTTCGACCAAGTTCACCATCCAAGTTGCTTGACATGCACAAAGAGAGGCAACTATGTATTCTGCTTCGCATGATGATAATGCCACTACTGGTTCCTTTCTTGAATTCCAAGCAACTGGTGCACCACCTAGCATAAACACATATCCTGCTGTTGACTTTCGATCTTCAGCATCACTACACCAACTCGAATCAGTGTATCCCACTAACTTGCATTATTTTCCTTTATCAACTGCAGGAAACAAAATGCCATAATCGAAAGTTCCTTTGAGATACCTTAGTATCCTCTTCACTGCTGCTAGATGTGATACCTTTGGCTTCTGCATGAATCTACTTACCATACCTACACTATATGCTAAGTCAGGCCTTGTATGACAAAGGTATCTCAATGATCCAATAAGTCTTCTGTATTGGGTTGGATCAACATCATCTTCATCTGCATCTTTCGACAGTTACAGTCTTGGTTCTGCAGGTGTCGAAGTTGAGTTGCATTCTTCCATCTCAAACCTCTTGAGAGTTTCTTCTGCATATCTTCTTTGATGCATCATCAAACCTCTACTGCTCTTGTAGAATTCGATACCAAGGAAATATGAAATCTCACCTAAATCAGACATTTCGAATTCCTTGCTGAGATCACCTTTGAAGTCTTCGATCTCACTTTTACAGCTACCTGTTATCAACAAATCATCTACATAGATACATAGTATAAGCAATTTACTCTCGCTTCTTCTTACATATACTCCATGTTCAGTTGTGCACTTCACAAATTCCTTCTCCCTTAGAAAACTATCAATTTTCTTATTCCAAGCCCTTGGAGCTTGTTTCAATCCATACAGGGCTTTATGTAGCCTGTACACCTTTCTTTCTTCGTCATGTTTCACAAACCCAACTGGTTATTTAACATAGACTTCTTCATCTAAGGGTCCATTTAGGAATGCACACTTTACGTCCATCTGACATATGTGCCAACTGTTTATTTCTGCTAGACCAACAACCAACCTGATTGTTTCGATCCTAGCAACAGGTGCAAAAACTTCATCGAAGTCTATTCCTTCTTTCTGTAGAAATCCTTTCGCCACAAGTCTTGATTTGTGTCGAGTTACTTCACCTTTCGAATTCGTTTTCACTTTGTATACCCACTTGACATAAATTGCCTTCTTGCCTTGAGGCAATTCGACAAGTGACCAAGTGTTGTTGTCTTCGATAGACTTTACTTCTTCGTTCATTGCTTTCACCCACTTCGAATCCTTCAATGCTTCAGCTGCATTAACGGGTTCAACATCTGCATAGAAAGCATAATGTACCAGCTCACCTTCATTATCTATTACATCATCTGATGTAATCACACAATCTTGCAATCTTGCAGGAATGCGTCTTGTTCTTTGAGGCCTGCTTGTACTTGGTATATCTGCTGGTTCCTCTTGTCGAACTTCTCTTTCAACTTGAGTTTCTGGATCTTCAAGAAGGATTCCCACTGAATCGTTCTTGATATTTTCAGTCTAATCCCATTCTTTAAACTCATCTATAATCACGTCCCTGCTGATCACAATCTGCTTTTTCACTGGATCGAATAACTTGTAGCCTCCTGTCGAATGATATCCAACTAGAATCATTTGACTTGACTTATCATCAAGTTTTCTTCTCAACTGATCTGGCACATGTCTATGTGCAATAGATCCAAATACTTTCATATGACTCAAGCTAGGCTTCACACCAGACCAACGTTCTTCTAGAGTAATTCCTTCTAGCTTCTTTGTAGGACATCTGTTCAAAATGTATGTTATAATCGAAACAGCTTCACCCTAAAACTCTTTAGGTAAATTCTTGCCTTTCAACATACTTCTCACCATATTCATGATGGTTCGATTTTTCCTTTCTGTAATTCCATTTTGTTGTGGAGTATAAGGTGGCACCACCTCATGCACAATCCCCTCCTTTTCACATAATATGTCGAAGTATTTCGACACATATTCTCCACCACCATCAGTTCTCAAAACTTTGAGCTTTCGACCACTTTGTCTTTCGACCATAGACTTAAACTTGGTAAATACTTCGATCACTTCACTTTTCTTCTTGATCAGGTAAGTCCATAGTTTTCGACTGAAATCATCTATGAATGTAACAAAGTATTTGTTACCTCCCATCGAATCCACCTGGATTAATCCACATACATCAGAGTATATGACTTAAAGACTAGCCTTCGATCTGCTTCCTGCATCCTTGTTGAAGCTATTCTTGTGTTGCTTCGACTGCACACATTCCTCACATACCTTGTTTGGAATGTCAATTTCTGGCAATCTTGAAACCATATTTCTTCTCTTTAAATCTCTGATGTCTCTGAAGTTGAGATGGCCTAGTCTATAATGCCATATCCATTCATCTCTGCTAGCTGCAGTCGAAAGGCACTTGTGCTCCATCACATTTAGTTCAATCTTGAAGGTTCGATTCTAAGACATATGAGCCTTCAAGATTAATCTCCCATTTGCATCAACGACTCTCATCATCTTATCTTCGATTGACACTTTATAATTCTTTTCGACCAACTGCCCTATACTGAGCAAATTTCTATTCATGCCTGGTATGTACAACACATTGGAGATTACTGACCTTTTTCTATCTTTTCTCATAATCATAACATCACCAATACCTTCAGCTGCTAGGGTATTGTCATTTGCAAATTTTACCATATTTTTCATTGAGGGCTTTATATTGACGAACCAGTCTTTCCTTTCAGACATATGTGATGAACATCCTGAATCCAAGTACCATTGGTCCTTGAATCTATCTTCATCTCTTGTTGTGACCATCAGCATCATCTCTTCTTCTTCTTCTTCTTCTTCTTCTTCATGTTTTGCAAGCTTTGCATCACTTTCTTGATTCTTTCGTTTTTCTAGACAATCACTCGAATAGTGACCATACTTCTGACAATTGTAACATTGAATGTGACTCTTATCAGGTTTTCGACCACCACCTCTTCCTCTATTTGCAACACCACCTCTTTGGTTGCCTTGGTATGGTCTTCTTTGATTCGACACGTTTCCTTCAATCTGGTTTCCTCTACCATTCGATTTGTTGTAGCCACCTCTACCTCTTTCGAAACACTTTCCCCTGCCTTTGGTCTCTTTTGTTGAATGTGCCTACAAGGCCACATCACTCTTCGATTTTCCTACAACTCTTTCGTTCATTCTTTGTCCATGAGATTCAAGCCTCCCTTGAAGCTCTTCCTTTGTCAATTTCGACAAGTCTTTCCCCTCTTCTATCGCCACCACTATGTGGTCGAACTTAGGAGCTAAAGATCTCAAGATCTTCGACACAACATCTCTTGTTGTTAACGCTTCTCCACATATCTTGATTTGATTTACTAGTTTTGTAACTCTAGTGAAGAAATCAGATATGCTTTCACTGTCTTCCATCTGAAGCAGTTCATAGGTCCTTTTGTGAGTTTGTAACCTCACTTCTTTCACTTTCTCAGCGCCTCCAAAAGACTTCTCAAGGATTTCCCAAACTTCTTTTGCAGATTCTGAATCACTAACCTTTTCGAAATTGTCTGGGCTGACACATTGATGAATTATAAATAATGCTTTATAACTCAGCTTCTCAGATTCTATGTATTTCTTCTTTTCTTCTTCTGAAGCGTTTTCTCCAAGCGCTTCAACTCCATCTTTTACAAGGTCCCAAAGACCTTGACACTTGAATAAGACTTTCATCTGTTTGCACCAATTCTCATAGTTGTCAACTTTCAGAATTGGTAGGGTTGCTGGATAATTTGCATTTCCATAACTTGTCATCGTGAATTCTTCAATCGTTCTTGATTGACACTTCTCTTGAATCGAAACAAAGCTCTTGATACCAGATGTTGGAAATCCACCAAAGTCTATGATGAATTTCTACCACAATGACAATTTAATTATGAGACAAACAAAGAAAAGAAAACAAGACAAATAATTTATGCAGAGTTTCTCTCTGCTCATAAACTGTGAAATATTTCTTATTCACTTTGCAACTGCAAAATACTGTGAATGACTTGCTTGACTTGCTTACAAAAATAGGGGTTACTCCCTCTATTTATAACTGAGCTTACACCCTAAACTCAAAGCTCAAAATATCTTTTTGTTACTAAATCAAATCTAATTTATTCTATACTTAAATCAAATCTATTTAAATCTGAAACAAATCAAATCTTTTAGGCACATAATTTCGACACACTGAATTACAATTTAACACGTTAGGGTTTGATGATTCAACAATACTAACTTACAAGGTTGTAGCATTTCATGTTGAACTAGAGAACAATGCTTCGGCCAAGAGTGAGGTTAAAGTTTTTACTTTGGGTGGTAATTCTTGGAGAAATATTCAAAGTTTTCCTGTCATTCCTCTTGATTGGTTTAATTCTATTGGTGTGCATGTGAGTCACACTCTTAATTGGTTGGCTATTAATGACTATTCCTATTCTCTTTATGAACCCTACAATATTACTCATGAAGATGAGAAGAAACATTTGATACCATAGGACGACAATGATGGATGAGACAATCAGTTGGATGAGACAAAGAAGATGGCGAAAGATGTGAAATCATGGCATATATATCTTTTGTTGCTTCTAATATGCGTTTTCTAAGAAATCAAGTATTTGCTGTTATGATTTATTGAAATTAATTCAAAGTTGGCTTACACTAAATAATATAATTAAGCTGAATTGAAACCTTTTCTATGTGAGAATCTTCCAACTTCAAACCAAAAAATACATAAAAGAAAAGTACAAGAAGAGGAGTCAATTCCAATGACAGTATAAAAAGAACATATGATACATCCAATTATGTTAATACTCAACGACAAACAGAAAGAGCATATAAACCGGCTTAGTCATTAAACAATTAAAACAAAGACATTCAACACTAACAAATCATATAAAATTAATATCACTAACCAAAGGAAAATGCAGCTTGATTTCCTTTTTAGAATTTATCGGTGATGTAATTTATTTAAATATGGGAGTTGGCATTGTTGTATGGATTAATGTGCCCTCAATGCTATTAGTACCATCAAATATCAATTCCCAATGCCTACTATTATTGACAATTTGTTGGATTAATCAATCATGGTATTCCAATCCTGATCTTCGTCTCTTGGAGAATTTTTGTTATTCTGTCTTTTGTGACTTTGAAGTCATAGACCCATGTGTCATGCCTGCATGCTGGCTAGGTACTAGATCCTTATGATTTTGGTGCAAGTTGGAAAGAAGCGAAAAAGGGTATTTGGTTCGAGGCTCTAGTTAACGGATACAGGCTGAATTTAAAGGATCAAAATTCGGGGCTGGTTGGTGTCTCAAACTAGTGGATGGCTATTTCTAATCTCAATGTTGGTGAGTTCCACTTCAAACGAGTACTTCGTTAAAGAGGTATATAAGAGTTTGAAGTCGATCTTAAAGGTGTGAAAAACACAAGAAATTGGGAGTTTGAATTGAATTTTAAATCAAAAATTTTTCTTTAAAAAATAATCTCCTTTAAATAAAATATGTTTTTCCCACTCTTAATAATAACAATAATTAAGAACAAGAAGTAAAGAACGAAGTAATGTTTATACTACTTCACTTGAAAACTATCAAGTTAGTCTAGTCCACCCGCCAATGTGATTTCGTCTTTCTCAACAAGGTCTTAATACAATAATCACATAGATTATTACAATGCACAAGCTAACTGCAAGTGATTAACGTTACGACCTCTAAGGTGCACAAGTCCTAGACTTCTTAAGGATACAGACCTAACTGGTCCCTTAAGGAAAATCAAATCTCTAAGACACACTAGTCCTAGACTTCTCAAGAATACTGACCTAACTGGTCTCTTAAGGAAATCAAATCTCTAAGACACACTAGTCTTAGACTTCTTAAAGATACAGACCTAACTTATCCCTTAAGAAAAATCAAACAACTATTTGAATCAATTTTGTTTACAAGAAATTATGCTTCTACACAAGCGGATATGTAAACAGTAATTTTAGAACATAGACTAGAGAAATATAAAAGTGTATGAACAGTCTCTTTGGCGTGAATTCGCAGATTTCTCTCTTAGTCTTCAAGCCTTTATATATCCAGTAAAATAATATATTTGTTAAGGGGTACTCTTGGGATTTCCGGAAGCATTGGCGGCTTGAGCAGTAACTTGGAGGAACAAGATCGTGCAATGCGTCTGTCCTTTCATGGTAGTGGAATGAAATGTTGATTGTAACATGTACTATTTTTACCACGTTAACGTTATCTTCTTTCCTTCTACACTTCAGAGGCTTCTACGAGCATGAGTTTAGAAGCGAGAACATAACACATGGTCATCAGAACTTCAAGTCTTTAGAGTCTTCAGAACTGCGTCTTTAGAATCTTCAGCATTTGGTCGTGAAAACCTTTTCTAGAACCTCGGATCTTTATAACTTTAAGTCTTCATAGTCTTTAGAACTTATGTCTTCAGAGTCTTCAGCACTTGGTCTTTAGAACCCTCTATAGAACCTTGGGTCACCAGAACTTCAAGTGTTCAGAGTCTTTAGAACATTTGTCTTCAGATCTTCTGGCTGGTTTTTTTAGAACACAATGTCTTCAGAAACATGAGTCTTTAGCATCTGCACTTCAGTAGAACTTCCGTCTTCAGATCTTCTGATTGGTTTCTTTAGAACACGTTGTCTTCAGAAACATGAGTCTTGAGCATCTGGGCTTTAGTAGAACTTCTGTCTTCAGATCTTCTGACTTGTTTCTTTAGAACACATTGTCTTTAGAAGCATGAGTTTTTAACATCTGGACTTAAGTAGGACTTCTGTCTTCACATCTTCTGACTTGTTTCTTTAGACAAACATTAGAGTCTACATTTCAAAAGCTTCTAGAGTGTCTTACTACTATTCATCAGAATTTATGTAGCGCAAAAGCGAAACTAATTCTCTTCTAATGTCTTGGCCACACCATCCATCATAAGTAAAACATGTTTGTTAAATACTCAAAAATAACAAAAATTAGAGTGTCGAAATTGTTCATACAAACATACTCATTTGTTATCATCAAAACTCAGAGATAATATTGCATAATCAAATCTTGTTCTAACAATCTCCCTGTTTTTAATAATGACAAAACTATGTATTTTGATGACACGATTTTGTTCATATAATCAGAAAAAGTGAAAATAAAAAGGTAATGAATACTTATCTTTTTTTATGAAACTCCCCCTGAATCAACGACTTGACGAAGCTCGAATATCCCGACTCTGAACCATTTGAGTAAAACTCCCCCTGGTTCCAATAGATCAGATATTGAGATCTTGAGAGTCTAGACTCTTGATACCAATAAAACCAATTGAGATCTTGAATTCATTAGAGCTTCTTCTTATTGAATCTTCTATCCATATTTTTCATATAGTCTTCAACTTCTGATTCGCTCAGTTCTTCTGGAAAGCATCTTCTTTTGATTCTTATGATCTGAATATCACATTATTAGACATTTTACATCTTCTGAATATTATGATACCAAAATCAAGATAACTTTAACTTTCATAAAGTTCTCACCTTCTGAACAGTATTGGTTTTATCTGATTCTTGAATATATATTCACAAAGTGTACATCTTTGATTGTATGAACAATCAGTTCTTAAGAACTTTAACAAAGTTCTTTCATTTTGACCTGTCTTATAATGCATAGTAAACTTGTTTAGAGTTCCTCGGTTAATCATCAAACAAACAAACACACGTTAGTGATAAATGCACATTTTATATCATTTTATTATTATGACAAGTTTTGCATCTATTTTAAGGTTTATCAAAATCATTATATTTCTCCCCCTTTTTGACATCAACAAAAAGTTAGATAACAAGAACTAGTAAATCTCTACATATTAACTTAATCATACCAATGCATTTGATATTCTCAGCATCTGAAAAACTATGAAGGTTTCCTTCTGATCAGAGACATTTTTAACTGAAACCTCTTCTGATGTCTGGGGTAAAAGAAACTAGAAGGTCTTTGATTAAGTCAGAATTTTATCACTTCAGACTAAGACTTAAAACATGTTTGATTCTAATGACATCTTACTTTAGAAAGAGATCCATTTTCAGATTCTTTAAAATAAACAGAAATTCATCTTTAGCTAAGGGTTTTGTAAAACTATCAGCCCATTGATGGTTTGTATCTATGAATTTTAAAGATAGGACCCTTTTCTAAATATAGCCTCTAATAAAATGATGTTTGATTTCTATGTGTTTATCTCTAGAGTGTAAGATAAGATTCTTACTCAAGAAAATAGTAGCAGTATTATCGCAGAAGATGGAAATGTTACTCTCATAAATTTGATAATCTTCCATCTAATTTTTTATCCATAGCATCTGAGTATTGCACAATGCTGCTGAGATGTACTCTGCTTCTACTATTGAAAGAGAAATTGTCGATTGCCTCTTGCTTGACCATGAGATCAGATTCTTGCCTAGAAACTGAGAATTTCCATAAGTACTCTTCCTCTCCATTTTGTCTCCAGTGTAATCTGCATCACAAAAACCAAAAAGAGTTTACTATGATGTTTTCTCATACATCAAGCCAAGGTTAGTGGTTCCTTTCAAATACCTTAGAATTCTATTAACAACAGTTAAATGAGATTCCCTAAGATCTGATTGAAATCTAGCACATAAGTGAATACTAAATAAAATATCAGGTCTAGAAGAAGTCAAATACAGAAGAGAACCTATTATACCATGATATAATGTCTGACATACCTTTCCACTCACCTCTTCTTTCTCCAGAATACATGTTGGATGCATTGGAGTCTTTGCTACAATGTAGCCTATCATGTTGAATTTCTTTAGAAGTTATTTGGTGTACTTACTTTGATGAATGTAAGTAGCCTCTGGTTTTTGATCAATCTGGATTTCTAGAAAGAACTTCAGTTCTTCCATCAGCTCATTTCAAACTCAGCCTACATTAACTTAGAGAATTGTTGCAGAGGGATGGATTAGCAGAACCAAAAATAATATCATCAACACAAATTTGAACAGTTAGAATATCATTTTTTGAAGGTTTTGCAGAAGAGTGTAGTGTCAATCTTTCCTCTAGTAAACTTATTTTCTAAAATAAAATTACTCAATTTGTCATACCAATCTCTGGGAGCTTGTTTAAGACCATAAAGATATTTCTTTAGTTTAAAAACAAAATGTGATTTCTCAGAGTTTTCAAAGCCATAAGGTTGTTTGACGCACACTTCTTCTGAAATATAATCGTTCAGAAGTACACTCTTAACATCCATCTAATAAAGGACGATGTTATGATTTACATAAAAATAAACTAACAAACGAATAGCTTCTAACCTGGCGATTGGTTCATGGGTTTTTGTATAGTCTGTCGCTTCTTGTTAACTATAACCTTGTGCAACCAGTCGTGCTTTTCTACTAACAACTTCACCTTTCTCATTAAGCTTGTTTTTGAACACCCATCTGGTTCTGATGACATGAACACCTTTGGGTTTCTGAACAAGACACCAAACATCATTCTTTGAG